GTTGCAGTTATGAGACTACTTCTTTCAAAAAATAATGATTCAATGCTTAAATATCGACGACATTTTATCAATTTAATTAACAATATTCATTTTCATTCTTTCGTTGGTTCCATGTTTCCCTTTCAACTCGATATAAAAGACACCACGGAATCTGACACATCTGTTTCATATATTTGGATATTTTCATAGAGAAAGACATTGTTGGCAAACTAGCGACTAAACTTTATGATAAACGTGATGATTTCATCTTTTCTATCGTCAACTCGCCTTATTTATGTAGCAATATACCACAATCACCTGCATATGGAGATTATCTCCCAGTTTATTCGATACACAAGAGCATGTTCTACTTAATTACGAACAATTTCTAAGACGAGGCAAATTACTGACAAATGTGTTGATGATACAAGGATATCAGCAGTCTCAAAGTCAACATTTCGCAAATTCTATGGCCGATACAATAACCTTTTTTTAACAAAGACAGTCTATCTTGAAGTCGAATGTTGACTGACATTTTTCATACAAATTGTTAGGCCATTATTTCCACACTGAATTGTCCACGGATTTGTACGTTTACCCAGTCATGAGGAGCACCGGTCAACAGGTGATGCTTAATTTTAAAGTTGGAATTACCAATTCTTAAGTTGGAAAAGCCAACTTTTACGTTGGAATTGCCAACTTAAAAAAAAAAAAAATATTACGTGACACTAATACGCTTCCGTATTTTCTTCATATTTCATTCTATAATGCATCGTATATAGGGTTACATTGTTTTCGCTTTCCTTCCTGCTTCCTAAGTCTTTTCTTTCACCCTGTCACTTTTAGTGATTTGCTTAGATTTTCTTGTCTGGTAAAGCTTTAGAATAAATCAAAGCTTGATATTTCTTGCCCAGTTGATACTCACAAAGTCAAACTAAGGCTGTGTAATTTAATGCAATTACAGATGGCAACGTTGAGATGTTCTTTTTATGTTTTTGTATTTTCACTAGAATTGGCTTTTGCGGGGAAGTAAGTATTTCCATTGTCCGGCGATTTCTCCTGTTAAATTCATTCATTTATTATTTTATTTATTGCTAAAACTTGAGCAGCTTCAAAAAGGGATGTATTTTGAGTATGTTTTTAGACCTTGTCAAGTGAAATTGAGAGTAATTTGCAAAGCTTTTTCGCACAAAATTACAGGTTATGAAAAATTTCAATGGCTGCATGTGGCAAAGTTTTTGCATCCCTTTTTAAGATACGTAAATGCATATTATAAAAGTTTGATATGAACTGTTAAGACACTTAATTGAAAAAGTTAAATAAATTTTTGAGAATTTTTCAGTATTGGAAAATCAAACTCATCATATTTTGGGTTTCTGGCAATTTTGTTACCAACTAAATTTCTGTTTTGCAATATTAATGAATATATCAGCAGCAAGTTATGCTATTACGAGGTTTGTTCAGAAAGTTCACGGACTTTTGACATAACTTTTTAATTTAACGTCATATTATATCCAAATTGAGTAGAAATGTTTACAATAAATTCGAATGATGTGTATTTTAAAAAACACTTAAAAATATCGATATATTTCAAACTTATTAAGAATTAAAAACTGCGAGAATGAGATAGCGGAGCAGGTAAGAATTTAGTAACTTTACAAACAATACACTAAATAGTAATATCTCTGTAAAAGGGCACAGAAACGACGTCCAAGTTAAGAATAGATACATCGTTTCATATTCCACATTATGACTTAATCAAATATTTTGCTTCGTTGAAAAGAAATCAATTTCAGAGGATAATTAGTCCTCATTGAAAAAAAAAAAAAAAATGACGCGGCCGCCGTAGAATGTCACGGAGCAGGAACTAACGATATATTTTTGTATTGTATTCGGGAAAGAATAAACTCAGAAAATACTGGAGGAAGCAGGAACTATGTCAGAAGTGAGTCGTGCATGTGTATCTTAATGACACAGGCGGTATTTGTATGATAAATACTCCGTATCACACGAGGACAATCTGTGAAGAATCGGATTATCTGTAAAATTCTGATCCAAAACAACAGGAGTAACGTCATGGAAAAAGATACCCAGGTAGCACAAAACGTTTTCATAACATTTTATTCTGTTTGTAATGTTATCAGAAGACGTTTTTTATCAAAACGTTTTTAAAATGTTTTTATATCCTTTTATTTCGGTTGTAAGGACGTCATTAGAAAACGTTCTTGACAAAATGTTTTAAGAATGTTTTCATAACATTTTATTCCGGTTGCAAGGACGTTTTCAGAAAACATTTTAACATAACATTTCTATAACGATAAAAAAAATCATTTAGCTATTTTTCGAATAGCATGGTAAAAAATTATATGATTTTTTCAATTTAGATATTTGGAAAAAAATAATTTTAAAAAAATTAACAATGATTTTAGGAACATTTGTGATGTATTTTGTTACTTTGACTTAGATTGAAATAATGTTTTAAAATTACATATATTTATACCTTGAATAAAAATTAATTATAATGAATTTCATAGATTACAAATGTTACCAGACAACATGAACATAACATTGTCTTGAAATGTTGGCAAAACATTGTTTAAATCTTACAGGAAAACTAATCATCTAAAATTTATTTTTTAAATTTTAGTACGTGTAAGACGTTTTATATATCAAAGTTCTTTTTACTTATAAATTACAACAAGATATTTTGGATCATTTTGAGCTATAGTTTTTAAAAAAAGACAAAAATAGGGATTTTTTTTTTGAAATTCATTCTTCTAATTTTAATTGTTTCATTAAAGCCACATTCCTAGTAATGTTGTAAAAAAAAAAAAATAATGTACAAAAAAAAGAGTATAATCCCCCCCCCCCAATAAATGCTAATTCAACAAAGTTGAACAAAATAATGTAGTGCATTTATTTACTTGTGCTCCTTCGATCATGTGTTTATGGAGAGTTGAGTGACACAGATGGATTTTAATTTATAGCGGCTGCTTGGGAAAAAAAAAGACAATCACTTTTTTACGACAAAATGAGGTTTTGGACATAAAGAAGTTTGCACCATACCTACCTGGAGGGATTTATTAATAATGTTAAGGTATGTTTGAAGTTTTTTGTCAGAAATATAAGGGTACTTGTTATGTTTTTTGACAGAATTGTATACCAAAACATAAATACAGTTGTATTCATCAGATTTATAATTTACAAACTATGTGTAGTTTTCAGATGATCTGAAGCATGGATATGTTTAACTAAAGATATGTATGATTGAGTAATCATTTTGTAAATTGAAATTTTATATCGAAATCTTTGTTTTTCAGAACTTGAGAAAACAAAGAAGTCCACGTGTCAAATAGATGACTCCCAAACAAAGAAGGCTGTTGTGATTTATTCATATTTCAATTTGTACAAAGTTCATTTGCTTAAAAGACTGAAAATTCTGTGCAGGTGTTTGGAAATACATACAGGTTTTAAGTTATATATTAATGAGGGATATTATCTAATTAAAAATTGTTGAAAATACCATGATTTTTATGTTGTAAAAATGATTTCTTAAAAATGTTTTGCAAACGTTTGATAAAACATTACAGACTACAATGTTTTTGAAAAATGTCATAATTACGTTTAAAAAAAAAACAACAAAAACACACACACACACACACAAACTAATATAACGTTATAATAACATTTTAGGAAATGTTTTCCTAACATTTTCACAACGTTTTTATTTAGGTATTGAATCATTATTTTTGAAAGATGTAGTCTCGTAACTGAAACTGTCTGAGCAAACAAATTTGGTAACGCGCATTAGAATGTGTCCCAGATACGGTGCTGTTTGGGCCCATGGGTCTCTTTTTTCCTTAATGAAAACTCGAATTACAAGAAAGTCAAATGTGGAAGTTTGAATTCTGTTGACTGGTACTTTATCTCTACTACAGAGTCTATAAAACTTAAACAGTAGGAAATCTGCAATGTAAATATATATTTCAGTTACATTATTTATACACTGAGCTATCTACTGATTTTTCCGGGGTTTTTTTTTCGATCATGACAAGGAGCACACGGCGGGTGTGACCGCTCGGTAGGGGATGCTCACTCCTCCATGGCACCTGATCCCACCTCTTAATATTGAGGTCCGTGTTTGCTCTGCTCGAAATTGTATCGTTACATTGGACTTTCGAGATTGAATACTGTTCGTTATCTTCATATTTCATTACTTCATTCTTATGAACCAATGACTTAAAAGAAACCCCAAGGCCTATAGTTCTTCAGAGTCAGAAGCTGGAGTTGTTTTTATTCTCACTCACTTTGTCAATCTATTTCTGTCAAATATTCTCTAACAAACATCTAGTTTGTCAAAGTAATAGGCAAGCATCTTATGATGTATAATATTCCAATTTGTAAAAGATAAGGTCCACAAAAATGACATCAGGACAATGCAACAGTAGGCTTTCATTAGCATTTATATACAATCTGATTAAATTCAGATTCTTTGATCTTGTGTAGCTATCTATGTGAGCGGATCAAAGGATCTGATTTTAATCAGATTGCATTTATATATTAAAAAGAACTGAAACACTACAGTTTGGGTTATATTAGGGGGTAAAACTTTGTCCATGGCAGTAATGTATGAAAAAAATATTTCCAATTCTCTCTTTTCAAGACCATTCAATGTACAGTTTGTTAGGATTGGAGTACTTAGTATGTCTTTCAATTTATTCAACCCATGTCCTCTCACCTAGAGTGTGGTAACAAGAAGGTTGTCAGTTTCAAATTTAAAATTAATAGGAAAATTCATCTACATTGTAAGTCATATTCTTCTAAAGAAAGCAATGAGAATTGTGATGCTTATATAACCAATGCCACCGAGTCCAGAAAGAAGAAATAATATGAATTACTCAGGAATCTACAAGAAAAAGTCTTTTTTTTAACTTTGTTAGAACATTGAAATTCAATGAATTTCATCTCGTAAAATAAAAAGGTTTCCAAATAAAAAAAAAAAGAATAGAGAAACAACTCAATGCGTATAAATTTTGAATTTATTTTTATCAAATAAACAAACACATACAAAGTGTATCAAGCCTGTACAAATCATTGCAGAATAACAAAAAAAAAATTATAAATAACAAAGTATTGGACATTTTGGCAAAAATAAATCATTAGGTTCCTACAATGTAAGCCTGTAGCGATCCATCTTGTTACGGGAGTTTTCCCTTGATATCTGCTGTATATGATGCCTAGTATGAAAGTAAATGTGGTCACAAATAAAGTCTAATAAATCAAAAGCTATCATAGGATTTGAAGACAGAAATGAAATACTTTACTTTAAAATGGAATTAACTTTTAATTACTCATCTGTTAGTAATAATACATGTATACTGGAGAATTCATATATAGACATGTATGTCATAGAAGCATCATAATTGATTGGAAGTTTTAACTTCTAATAAGTAGTTAAGAATTATGCATACGTATGCAATCAGTAGATAAATAAATAATTTATAGAAGGATAATTATGTATGTATGCTGGTGATATAAGCTAAACACACAAAATGAAATTACTTTTACATTAATATTCCCCCATGTATGCTGTACATATTGTATTCATTTTCAACAATATATTATCCTGATATCAGGGAAATATACCCATCTACGTTAGCAGTATGAAAGAGAAAAGGGAGGGGTACATTTTCTATATGTCACTGATAGGTACATGTAAATGCTAACATTACATTTTCATGTACAAATAAAAACCCTCCACTATGCAGAAAGAACTTTTGACATTTTATCTCTAGTTTTTTAGTTTAGTTTCTCACAGATTTATTTTTTTTTTAAAAAAACTCTACATTTGAACACTTGCATATTGTGGCTTTGCTTGAAGTTGTACCTTGAGAGTGTAAAACCCTAAATCCATAGAATACGCTACTTACTAATTATAGGAGCAAAAGGGGGTTGGTCAATTGTAATATTATTAATGCAGTAACTGTTATAAAACAATTGTCATGTCTTTTCTATGATGAAAAGTGTGAAAATGATCAGTAACAAAACAGTTATACAGACATGATGAAAATTTATGCTGATTGCTTAAAATCTTGCATGGTGGGGTATTTTCTGGCCTTGCTGGAGTTCAAAATATGTAATAAGTTAAATATTATACAATTCAAATATGCAAAATATAAGATAAAAAGCAGATGAAAAACTTATTTTATAAAATGAATAATTTATGATACATTTTGAGTTCAGAAGTCCATAAGCTGAAATAAAGCAGCCCCTGGCACAACCGTAGTCACTTTTGAAGATCATTCTTTAGTATATTGTAAAATCACTTATTTTCATGGGGGACAAATTTTTGTGGTTTGGGTGGGGGGGGGATCTTGATTTGCGTGGATTTTATTTCGTAGTTGATGACGTGAACAAGATGCTGCAATTTAAAACTTTAAAAAAGGAGGACAAGAATTTGTGTGCCTCATCATACAACGACAACAATAAAAAAAATATCCCCATGAAAATTAGTGATTTCATACTACATGTGTAATAGTGTAATAGACATGCAATTATTTGGGAGAAAAGGCAGTATTTTATATATATATATATTATATATATTATATATATATATATATATATATATATATATATATATATATATATATATATATATGGGACTTTGCTATGGTCAAGCCTGTCTATAGCTACCATTGAATCAAATCCAACATCACATCAATCCTATAAGACTCCAAACACCAAGCATTCACTGTAACCATGTAACTGGTTACTTAAGTTAACTGATTACATGTGTATACCTATTTCATATACTATACTGTTAAATGTTTTAGAACAAGTTTCACAGGAAATGATGCAAGGCATGTGGAGATGCAAACCTAATACATAAAGATGATCTGACTAATACTAACAATTCACCATCTCTGTTTTACAGCAACAGGTCTGCAACATAAAACACTACATTACTTCTCTCTGCCATCAAATTTTTCTACATCAAAATGTAGAATTAATTTTTTTCAAAATTAATATTAAAAGGTCAGGTTCTCTAGGTCTGTTTTAAAATATAAATAGATCAGGTCTGTGTTCATCACCATGAGGAATAATCTAGCTCATCATTTCCAAACACGAAGAAATATCCAAGGATTGTTAGAAACACGACAACATTCCCTGCCAGGACCAAACCACAGGCTCCCCACTGGATCTACAACACATCAACGACATCCTGAATAGTAAAGCTAAGGATAAAAATACTGAATAATTACATCAACCATTGCCGGAAAAGTTATATCAAACGATATACTGAACAGTTGTTTAAACAATATGCTGAATAGTTACATCAAGGATATAACAAAAAGTTACATCAACATCATACCTAATAGGTACTCAATGACTTACTAAATAGTTACACCATTGATATAAATACTGAATAGTTCCATCAATGATAGTAATTCTGAATAGATATGGCAATGATATAAATACTATAGTTGATGAGGAAATGTTTGAATCAAAACATAAATACTGAATAGCAGTATCATTAACAATAAGTAATGGGTTATAATGACTTCCCATTTACAATTAGTAATGGGTATATTTTCTTCCTGTTACAATAAGTAATGGGTATATTTTCTTCCTGTTACAATATGTAATGGGTTACATTTACTTCCTGTTTACAATAATTAATGTGTTTATTTACTTCCTGTTTACAGTAATGGGTAATATTTACTTCCTGTTTACAGTAATGGGTTATATTAACTTCCCATTTACAGTAATGGGTTATATTAACTTCCCATTTACAGTAAGTAATGGGTTTTATTATATAGTCTATAAATAGTCCCTATATAATCTATACAAACGCAAACGGTTCATAACACTACATATTCACTGGATTTGAAGCCGTATTCACCGGAGGGTCAGTGAGCGTGCAGCGGCATTGTGACGTCACAATCAATACCCCAACGTTAAAAACAATATGGTTACAACGGCCGGAGCCAGCTGTGTATCTGAGCAGGAAAAATGTTAGGCAAGTCTATTGCAGGATTATTTTCCAAACATTTCAATGTTTTACACACAGCGAAATGAAATCACGGAAGTTATAAGTTGAATAATATGTACGTTTCATTTTTTAAAATTTTCTACAAGAGGTTCGTTAAAAAAGGTATCGTCATGCAGCCTTCAATGTCTTATTTATTTCAAATCTGGACTATATAATAAAACAATTATGGACCCTTTCACCGAAAGACTCCATAATTGTATAATATTTACTTCCTGTTCACAATAAGTAATGGGTTATATTTACTTCCTCTTTACAATAAGTAATGGGTTATATTTACTTCCTGTTTACAATAAGTAATGGGTTATATTTACTTCCTGTTTACAATAAGTAATGGGTTATATTTACTTCCTGTTTACAGTAAGTAATGGGTTATATTTACTTCTTCTTAACAATAAATAATGGGTTATATTTACTTCCTGTTTACAATAATGTTATATTTACTTCCTGTTTACAGTAATGGGTTATATTTACTTCCTGTTTACAGTAATGGGCTATATTTACTTCCTGTTTACAGTAAGTAATGGGTTATATTTATTTCCTCTTTACAATAAGTAGTGGGTTTATTTTCTTCCTGTTTACAATAATGTTATATTTACTTCCTGTTTACAATAAGTAATGGATTATATTTACTCTCTGTTTACAATAAGTAATGGGTTACATTTACTTCCTCTTTACAATAAGTAATGGGTTATAGTTACTTCCTCTTTACTGTAAGTAATGGGTTATATTTTCTTCCTGTTTACAATAAGTAATGGGTGATATTTACTTCCTGTTTACAATAAGTAATGGGTGATATTTACTTCCTGTTTACAATAAGTAATGGTTATATTTACTTCCTCTTTACAATAAGTAATGGGTTATATTTTCTTCCTGTTTACAATAAGTAATGGGTGATATTTACTTCCTGTTTACAATAAGTAATGGGTGATATTTACTTCCTGTTTACAATAAGTAATGGTTATATTTACTTCCTCTTTACAATAAGTAATGGGTTATATTTACTTCCTGTTCAGATTACTCATGAGAAATTTAGTTTTTGAGAAAATTGTATTAAAGTCTTCACTAGCCAAGATTTTCTGGTTCACTCCAGTCCTCACAAAGACTATTGGCTGATCATGTCAATTAGACATCAGGATAATTTATATCACGTGACCATTTGGATTACATCAGGGACATAAAGAAAAGTCATTTTAAATCTGAACTTTCTCAAGAATACTCAAAAACAAGAGGCCTATGGGCCACATCGCTCACCTGAGTAACTTTGGCCATGCTGTTCTTTACCAGATTTTCCCCCTTGTAATACCTATTGTGGCCCCGCCCTATCCCCAGGGGTCATCATTTGAGCAATTTAGAATCTACACTACCCAAGGATGCATCCACATAAGTTTCAGCTTATCTGGCCCAGTGGTTCTTGAGAAGAAGATTTTTAAAGATTTTTCCTATATATTTCAATGTAAAACTTGGATTCCCTATTGTGGCCCCGCCCTACCCCCGTGGATCATCATTTTTAGAATTTAGAATCTACACTGTCTTAGGATGCTTCTGCATAAGTTTCAGTCTTTTTGGCCTTGTGGTTCTTGAGAAGAAGATTTTTTAATGACCCCACCCTATTTTTGTCTTTTCTTGATTATCTCCCCTTGTAAGGGGACTTGGCCCTTTATTTTAACAATTTAAACTCCCCTTTACCCAAGGATGCTTTGTACCAAGTTTGGTAAAAATTGGCCCAGTGGTTCTTGAGAAGAAGTTGAAAATGTTAAAAGTTTACAGACAGACGGACAGACGGACGGAGGACTGACAACGGGTGATCAGAAAAGCTCACTTGAGCTTTCAGCTCAGGTGAGCTAACAGGTATTTAGCTTTGATTATTTATTAGGATGTTAAACTATACATCTGCAAAGTATACAGCAAATCATGTTTTATCCACATCATATTAGTGAGATTACATCACTGCTTTTTATAGAATGGTCATAGACAGTCATACTACGTGTGTCTTATTTCTGTAACAGATGTTATGTGAGCTTTTCATTCCCAAGAACATATACAGCAGTCAAAAAACATCCCAAATGAAGACATAATAAGTAACTGTAGCTTTAAATTGCAATGATTGGTTAAATCCATTAGAGATACTGTCCACATCTCGAAAAATCCCTTTTGATAGTACAGTAGACCAAGGGTTTGTGAGGAATGAAGCAGTCCGTTCAGAAATACTAAGTTTTGCTCAGACCCAGGCTAGGACATTCTACCTACTAGTTTACACTGATACTGGCTTTAATTTTATATTCATATAGATCTATAGAAATAAAAAATATTATTTATATTTATTTTAGCCTAAATAGGTAAAATATTTGAATCTTATTGGTCAAGAACTGTTTGAAAAACATTCTGTGCCAAGTGTTTCCTTCACTTTCTTGGCTGATTACCATTATTTACCTGCAATATTTATGTATTTGACTTACCACTGAGGTTCTAGCCAATACAATGGGTAAACCAACTGCTGAAATCACAATTCCCACGGTCAGAAATATACACAGCTCGATAAGGGCACTGCTGGAGGAATCGAGACTGCCTGAGAGACGACGAGAGATTACCGTTGGTACTGGTGACAGGAAGTAGAAAAACAGCACAAACATTGGCCACCAGTTCCTGCAGAGAAGTACAGAAACAATACCGTAATTTGTCAGACCGATCTGTCACCTAATCATTGTAGTCATCTTTAAATGCAGTATTCCAAATCCTGCTTTACTATGGTTACTAATGAAATGCCCTTGAGTTTAATTGAATATCCCTGACTACAGTTCAAGGTCAAATTATCAAAGTAACTTACTGAAACAGAGCACATCCCAGAACAAGAAACGTGATCCCAATGGCAGCAGAGAAAGCCAAGGCTATTAATCTAAAAATAAAAAAATCATCGATATCAATCACACACACTTATAGGAAATAGAATGTTTCCAAATGGAATATTTTAGAACTCTTCACTAAAAAATTACCATGTTTACAACACAGATTATTTTACATGAGTATAAAATGAATTGTCATATTTATTTTCAAATCCATGAAATAAAGACTGAAGTTTCTTGTAACTCATTAAGGTTATTTTTGTTATTATTATTTTGTATAATATCAAATAAATAAAATCAATAATCAATATTTTGAATATATGCTGCTGAATCTCAGTTGCCTTTATACAGTCTAGACAAACTCCCAAAGGAGAGTGAATGCCAAAAAAAAGGACCTTGGCTCCATCATGCATTGTGGCAAATGGTGTGCATTGCATATCCAAAGTAATTAAATAATGAATTGTTGTCACTTTTTCCCAACATACAGCAGCATAATGGCTTTTAAGTTTTTAAATCTTTGGAAAATGGCAAAAATATGTTTTGATGGTTATATCTTGTCTGTATGCGATAAAAAAATTAAGTAACTGTAAATAACAATGGCAAGAACTTATACTTTTAATTCAGGTGTTTTTAGTACTTTGAACAATCTAAATCCTGAAATGCTAATTGATGTTTAAGGTTCAGCCAGGTTTTTCACAGTAACAACATATATTGTTCCATAATGATCTCTTGTGAAATGTCAACTTCGAAAGTGAATAACTTATTTTGCAAATAGAATCAGAAATCTAATGAACACAATCTCTTCTTAAGACTTTTATGTAGCATTTCAGAGTACTGACACGATTGTCAGATTTTCCAACTCTCTGCACAAGCAGTTTTGGTAGACCTATGATTTTTGCTGAAACATTGACATTTTTTGTGTTTGTGTGTATGCGTGGAATCTATTTTCAGCGTCTTATTTTAATCTTAAATTCTTATTCACTTTCAGAGGTTCATTTCGACTGATATAAGGTATGATGTGTCTAAATAAAATGTGCTGTCTATAGTTGACAGAAAACTTTACAATCAGATAATATTTCTCAAAATACTGTGTTACACCTGTGTTTATACTTACGCTATAGAACATTCCAATCAAAAAGCCAGGAAAAAACAGAGAGCATCAATATGAAAGATAATAATAATTTGCATTAAATACATATTATTATATCACCATGATCACTTAAAGAAACATAGAAGAGCGTGTACATTTCCTTCTGCACAATCACATTAATGTCATAATCTCTCTATCAAATAGTTTTATCAAAATAAATATAATTTTCCATAAAATAAATAAGAGTAAATTATGTGTACTATCCTTAATTATCTTATCTTAAGGACAAAATCATAATCGACACGCAAAATATTATTGTAAGACTTTACTCCTGAAATTAGAACATCATTCGGTATATAATGCATAAATTACGCATAATTTATCATTGAACTTTGCAAGACCAGGAAGTAAAGTATAAAATAATTAATACACAGAGTGACTGACCGGAACTTTCTTTTTCTTATTTACAAAATTGACCAGACCCGGTACAGAATCATCTCAATGTTAAAAGATCGGAAACATCTTCAAATGAGCAGTTTCCAATGAACAGTGATGCAAAATTGCTATCTCATTTAATGACTTCAACAAAAAATTAAAAAACTGCAGATAAAATTCTCTCAGAGTTCAAAATTTTTAAGAAAGTTAGAAACTTAGAAAGCTTACATCTAATTCCGGCCATTTTTGTTGACGAATAGTCATGAACAGATGATCAATCGATGAATCTAGAGTAATTCCGATATGAAAAAACTGGTCCTCTAATTCATGAGAACCAAATTAAAAGGCTAATTCGTGCCAAGTTTATTCTCGTGCATATTTAAAGCGATATCATATGCTACATTAGAAAGCACAACTATGGAGTTTGTAATCAGAGGTAATAAATGAAATATATCATGGTGTTACAGGAATCTCAGAGGAGGTTAGAACCCCCTTTATTATTTTTTTTGCCAAGTGGAAGAGAGAAAGAGAAAAAAAAAGGGGGGGGGGATAAAACATATTTTCTTGAATAGGCCTAGATATTTACGTCTTTTTCGTTTTGAATTTAAGGAGGTTGGATCCTGCCATCAAAAGTAATGAGAATTTTTAATCAAGTATATTTTTAGAATTTATACCCATAGCTTAATTAAAACTCAAAACAAAAATTGGGGGTCAATGTGCTTCTTTTGGTGCTACAGAGCATTTAGTTTGACCTTTTTGCACTGTAAATATGTCTTACACATAAATCAATTTTTAAAGTTTTTCCTCCAATATTTTTTATTCAAATAAATTAAGGGAACAAACACAGTCCTATTTCATCTTGAATAGACACATTAAAATTTGTGACAATGAAATTTTTTTTCAAATTACTCCGCATGTTCAATTATTTGACCTTTTTGCACTCAAAAAATTTCATTTGTCTGGCATTAGAACTTTAACAAGCAAAAAAATCACTTGAAAGTAATGACATTTTACTGAATTTAAGAAGAATGGTTAAAAGTATCTTGTATATTCAGAAAAGAAAATAAAAAGTGGGGGTCTGTGATGTTAATTTTTAGATATTACTAAAATAGTGCTAATTTTAAGCTTAAAATAGGGATATTTTTTTCTTGATTTTCACAATATATTTGCTATATTTATCAAATATGATGATAGAATTCATGACAGTTTATTTAATATATAATTTAGGACCAGTATAAAACAGTTCACAACACAAAATAACTCTGTGTGCAGACTGCATGTAAAAATTGGAATCCAAACTAAACGTACTTTAAATACTTCGAAAGAGAAAAAATGATCATTTTCTTCTAAAAAAAACCTTCCGCCACAAAATATAGTTCCTCACATAATGCTTTTGGTATGGAATTTAATCATGGAGTTTTAACTGAATATAGTGTAATTGGCATTGTAGAATCCAATTTTATTGCAAGAATTAAAACATTATGCAGAATTTTTAAAATATAGGTTAAGATAAAAATCTGCTCAAAAGCTCAGGAGCCAACCTCGTTAAACGTAGTACAAAACCGCTCGATCGACCGCAAGAACTTATAGATGTATAGAGTTTCACATATTTCCTTCCCTCCATAAATATTTCAAATAACCGCCATCCTCAGAGTCTGCCGCATCCACACAGTTTTGTTTTACTTACTATATATAGACGATAAGGGCCAACTAACAACTAAACTGTATGACAAACGAGATGACTTCAGCTTTTCCATCGTCAAATTTCTTTATTTATGTAATAATATTCCGCTGTTACCAGCATATAAGATGTTTATGTCTCCCAACTTATTCGATACTCAAGAGCATGCTCTGAGTATATGATCAGTTTTTAAACCGAGGCAGGCTACTGACAGATAAGTTAATGTTACAGGGACTTCAAAAACTCCCTTAAAAGTCAGCATTTCGTAATTTCTATGATCGTTATAATGATCTTGTTAGGCTTACAAACATAACTTATCATTGCGTGGTATTTTGACTGCATATTTCCAAAAAGCTAGTTTTAATTTATCATGAAGAATGGTTGTATAAAGTGTAGTAAAGTTATACCTTTTGATGTTACTGACTTTTTTTTTTTAAATGTGACTTTTAAATTTACTAAAAGTTCTTTGGAGTTTTTGAGAATCCCCATCTGATTTACACTTCTGGAATACCAGTATGCTGTAGCACAGTGCGTCTGAAATTCCTCCTTTAAGGTACTTAGTATTTTTGTGAGGAGTAAAGACAGGGGCTTGGTAGAGATTTGTTGAACCCGGCAATGTATCTTTTTTGTAAGAGTTTTTATGAAGTTTAGGAATGCAGTATAGAAAGGAGAGATCGAACTCAGTCACCTTCGTTGACATGAATGTTAAAAGTTTTTAAAGACTGAAGTGTGATTCTGAAGAATTTCCCCTTAAAAATTGAACTGTGAGTATATGGTGGAATTCCAGACGTAGAATTAAAACCGGCCAAGTTCTTCTAATTATAAACTACATTTATAATAATGAGCCTTACAAACAAAAACGATATCGTTACAAGCTTGTCTGCTGGAACGATAACATATTGTTCATGTAGTCTTTCTAATTTATATACGCCTCCGATTTAGTAAAAACGGAAGGATAGGTGGTTGGTTTATTCCCCTTTAACTTTCTAACATGATTCTTTAATGTATTTGTATATAAAACATTTAATCCATTCTGACAAATCCCGCTTTATATTTCGCCTGGAACGTTTGGCATAACCTTCGACAAAATTCAGAATAGCTAATAAATAAAAGATACTTCTTTTATCTTTGACATTTCGAAAAAAAAAAAGTGGCGACCATTAACTTGATTTCTTGTGATTGTTAAACTAGATTCATAAAAATTAATGCAGTTTTTTTTTAACTTTGAACCCATGAAAGTGTAAGTGTGGATCGAGTCACCTTAAAAATTAAATAGACAAATATGAGGAAAACATAGCAAAATAAAACAAATAAATAAAAAAATTTATAGAAATAAATAGATTAATAAAACGCTAAAACTGTTTTTTCTTGGGGGGGGGGGGGGTACTTCAGTCATAGCTGTAAGGACATATATAGCAGGGGCGGATCCAGCAATTTTTGAAAGGGGGGTCCAGGTCGGTGCCCCCAACATTCATGCATAGAATTATGCCACAGGCACTTCAAGTCCGTAGCAATGCTTTATCAAAAGGGCCAACCTCCGAACAGAGTTGACAAGCTAAAAAAAAAACAAAACAAACAAACACAAAAACAACTGTGCGCCACATTCTTACATCCTATTTCGGGGTAAGGGGGGTCCTCTTACTTTTTGGCACTTTTTTGGTTTCAAATGCTTGAATTGCGTATTTTGAACTTCAAGCAACAAAATGGGGGAGCATCCAAATCAGAACTTGCACATTAAAACTACAGCATAAGATAATTCTCAGAAAAAGTGAACACACTCCCCCCGCATATTACCGGGGCATTTTACACCTTTCTCTTCATAGATTAAAATATCACCATAATAGTATGCTCCCTTTCATGACATTCATACTTTTTAAAGTTAGTTACTTCAGAAGATGGTCCAAAAATGGCATAGCTGAAGTTTGCTGGAATCTTCCAATGATACCAAAGTGAAATCTTGCATGTTACTTGTGGGTGGTCGGGGCCCGGGGCCAAGGTTCTGAAGGTACGTGGAGGATGGAATAAGGGACACTCTATCTAGCGAGCAGAAAGGGCAGAGATTGAACTACTTATTTTATTCAAAATATTAGACGTTTAATTATCTATATTACAGAGATCTCTCTCTCTCTTTCTCTCTCTCTGCAAAAATAAAGGGGGGGGGGGTCCAACCCCGGAACCCCCCTCTGGATCCGCCAATGTATAGCAACGTACCTTACCTACTGATAATTTTTCAAGATATTCTTAATTTAAGATAGTGCCATCAGATGTTCGTAGTGTAGACAAAAAATCAGCATGCATTACCAGGGGTTTTGAAAATAATCAATTGATGAAAATTCTTGTATAATTCAAAGAAAAATATACAAAAATTACTAAACTTATATTCTAGATGTTTTTTTTATCCAAACTTTTTTTTAGAAGTGTACAACAGCATATATACACATTAAAAATTAATGTAGCACACAGTTCCTTTAGGTATTGGAACTCTTCAACTCCAGGAGAAAAGATAATAAAGTTCAAACTACGTTGCGTATATTTCCTTAATTTTATTAGTTTTTGTGACTCAACTAAGCCGCACTTTAAAAGTATTGGCGTAAATAAATAAATAACAAGGCAAAAAGGACGTGCATGCTTTGTTGATTGCAAGGGGTCTGAACTCCATCACCCCCCCCCTCCTTAACCCAGCATGATAAATGGGTTGAAGCCCCTCGAAGCTCCACAGAAATATTGACAATATTTGGAAATGATATAAATTTATTCTCAGAATGTGTTTTTGTGAAGATAATTTGCATTAACACATTATATTCGAATAATGAAACAAATATTGAAATGTACGTGAAAGAATTTTCTAATTTATTTGATTTATTTTTGATATTTTGGTGAAATATAATGTGGATGCTTTGGCATACAAGCATACGGGGTAGCTAAGTACTACGCCACTGCAAAGCTTAAGATTATAGTGCCATAGTGCGGCTTGCACTGAACGGGAAGAAGATTGATTGATTGTATATTGTTTTACGTCCCATTCGAGAATTTTTCACTCATATAGAGACGTCACCATATACCGGTGAAGGGCTTCAAATTTTGACCTTTACTCGGCACTCAGGGCCATTGAGCAGTGAGGGATCTTTATCGTGCCAACGCCTACCGTGACACGGGGCCTCGGTTTTTAAGGTCTCATCCGAAGGACCCGCAACTTTCACTTCAAAGTGCCGAGCGCATGGCGAAAAAGCTTTTCCGTATTTTATATTAAAAAAAAAACTACATAAAATTAGAATTGTATCCTAACTCTGTTTATTTCTTTTATATGAATAATGAAAAGTTCTATATATATGTGTGTTAGTTAGGTCATATTTTGCCAAATAGGTGCGACTCATTGGTACACGTCAGGTTTATTTATATTCCGGAAATGTAATGTTTACGTTCGAGATTTTTCGTTTTACAATATAAACAGCCATTTTGTGCTCACGAACATTGCGTCGTGAAGTTGTGTTTGAGAAAGACTATCATAGATCATAAATAATAGACAAAATGGCAGAAGGAACAAAGTAAGCAATTCATTCATTTGATATTGTGTTAACCTGTTCATATTAAGTAAATATTTCCTTGGAAGTCCATGTTATTTTTGTAAAATTTCTTACGCCGGTAGTCTCGTATTTATTCAAAATCAGCAAGTCATCATATCAAGAATCTGCTATTTTCAGTTTACATGAATTAAGATTTTTCAAGGAAAATTGTTTTTTCGCTTAAATTAATGTAATTTGAAGAAATACAAAAGCTTTTCTTCTTATAAATATAGTTTTTGTTCATCGGACAAAGAACATGTCTGAATTTGCAGACGATTTCGAACAGTAAGCATGTCCAATTCAGTTTTTTCCCCAGTAAGATTATACTGAACATATTAAATAAGATAAAATATTTTTAAAATCTTAAGAAAAAACAATTGAGGTACCATTTTTAGTGTTCAAAATTTTAACAACTTCGGGGAAATCCTGGATCCCCTTTGTCTGTTTACATAATGACGTCATGTTCTAAATACGAACGTGTCGCAGTCAGGTTCAAAACTGCTGTTTCACTAAAAATTGTGTAACAATTTTAGTTTCACTTTCATTTTTCACATGCCCAATCTTAAGAAAATGATATACTTTATGACAAGACTTTTACTTATGTTAATACAAGAAAATTAAATAAAAAAAAACAACATTAGCCAAATAGGAGAAGACATAACTAAAGATATTTTGTATAACATTTATAAGGCTTTAATTTTTTATCTGAAGTCTACTGAAGCCACTTTATCAGTGTTATTTCCTTTACATGGAGAAGAATTTTCAGTGCCTACAGTTCAGCAATGAACAGGAAATAAAAAAAACAAACATGTACAACATATTGAATCCTCTGACTTTCTTCAATTCTGCCAGAGGATCCAGGCATCTTTGAAGCCAAGAGGTTTAATGATCTACATTTCCCACAAACCCCTGATAAATCCCTGGGAACAACTTTACTGGTCCCCAGAAAAAACGCGCTAAAATATAGTGTCGCCATAGGCGACTTCCATATATATGAGATCACGTGAGCAATGAAGAAAAATTAAAAAGTATGAGTTTTTGGCCTTTTTGAGCCCAGAATCATTTATATAAGAATGTTCATCTGTCAGTTTTTTAATGCAACAGTTGTCTTTAAATTGGAGTGAAACGAACAAAATATCACAACTTTCAGTGGCATAATCTGATGAGGGTTTGTGGGTGGGGAGTGTATTGGACTGATAACCCTTTGCTTGCAGAGATGAGGTATCTGCGGAATGCTCACATGGCAAACATCTGATGAAATTTTGTTTTATTTATGTTTCATAATGTAATTATCAGATTCTATAGACTAAATACTGGTACATTGTTACTTGAGCTAACTAATCCAATAAATGATGTGACTTTTCAGTGATGATTTAGCAACAGCTATCTTGAAGAAGAAAGATCGCCCCAACAGACTACTAGTGGAGGAAGCTATCAATGAGGACAACTCGGTCGTTTCACTCTCTCAGGTACAAACTTGATCCCAGACTGGCAGTTAAAGTATATTTTATAAATTTTGATAGATAAACTAGTAAAAAAGAAAACTATTAAATCATAATTTTATGTAGGATTTTCTTTATTTGATGAGTAGTCGTGTTAATTACATACACATATTTGTAGTCTGTTCTCAGTAATTTAATAGAAAAATAATTTGGGTTGATTACTGATAAAGAATTTTGTAACTGAAGTATGAATTGAATGCCTCTGTTTAGGGTAAGATGGATGAGCTACAGTTGTTTCGTGGCGACACAGTTCTTCTGAAGGGAAAGCGTAGAAAGGACACAGTTTGTATTGTCCTGTCTGACGACACCGTCAGTGACGACAAAATCCGAATCAACAGATGTGTCCGTAACAACCTCAGAGTTCGTCTGGGGGATGTTGTCAGGTAAAGTAAAAGACCAAGACACAGAAATCTTTGGTCCATAAATCGCACATTTAAAAACAAAAATACTGTAAGAACTTATAAACCAATTGTTTTATTTTTAATTGAAAAGAAAACAGATAACTGAGAATGCATAACAGAGCTATAGGTTAGATATGTTTTTTGTAAATATTTCTTCCATGTTTACAGTATTCAGGCCTGTCCTGATGTCAAGTACGGGAAAAGGATCCATGTTCTGCCTATTGATGACACAGTGGAGGGACTAACAGGGTAAGGAAGGGAGGGGATAGAAAAAAGGATACAAGTACATGTCAATCTAGGGGTACAATAATGAAATCATTAAAATCCCATATTAAAATTTAACAGTACATTTTGGGGGGGGGGGGATGCAACAAAGCATTGATTTAAATAATTTGAGGGAATTTTATTCATCAATGCAATTTTTAGTGGATTTGTAACTTTTACTGTCTTAAGAACCATAATAGCTCTGTGTACGTATACATTTAAGACTCCTAAAAATGTGTCGTGAATATCAGAGATTTCACTGTTCCAGCAATGATGGTCCGGTCAGGTAATGTATAAGATGGGGCTGTCATTGATGAGTTGATTAAAATATGTCATTGATTTAAAATGCTCTGATATGATATTGATACATTTTTTGGGAAATGATATGTTACACACCCATGTAATAAACTGCTGATATTACATTTACACTACATATTTCCAGCTACTTGTATGAGTTAATATTTCTTCATTACAAAGTTGCAAATCAGACAAGAATTTCGCTCTCCAAATTCCCATGGAACTGTTCTTATTCCAATAAGATTTATTCAAGCTCATATGCTACCATCTTACCAAATCAAAATTATGAGCTAAGATGAAATTGTACACAAAGAGACAGACAGACAAAGGTAAAACTGACAAAGCAACGTACAGAAATAAGCAAGATGAAGTTGCAGATAGAGATGAACAGACAATTGAAAAACACAGATACATGTATGTTCGAGCGATGGCACACAGCATAGGTTAATGTAATCTTTTAAAAGTATATGTGCCAGAAATAACATGATTGAATTCCATTATTGTAATAAAAACTGTAATTGATTAATTTTTCCAAATAATGAAAAGACCTGTACTTGTAATGGATATTATGATTAATGACAAGTTTGGAAATGCATTTCTATATATAAAAAATAAAATTTAAAATCACAAGAAACAGCATGCCTCAGCCAGCAAACATTCAGCATTGCCAGCAAGTATAGGTAGCATGACTAGCATACTGTCAGCATGACTAGCATTCATGTCAGCTTACTAAAAAATCCAACAATGAGATATTGCTTAGCTCAAATACAAAGTGTATACATTTATTAGCAAGCTATATCAGTATTTATGTAATATCAGAACAACCAGTCATAAATATTTAGAATTCATATGCAATTGCATTGATGAAGTTTGATGTATCTTATGCCTCACTATCAACAGTGCTGTAAATAATTCAAGGATTATTGAGCTCATTAAATTAACATGGGATTAGCATCAGAATTCCTAGTATTAAAAACAGATAAATATTGAATCTTTAATCAGTTTGTAAAATGCAAAAGGTTACACCGCCAAAAAAATTTAAAGAAAAAAAAAGTAAGTGATGTGGTCAATGCTACCTGGAAATTTTTGTATCTGTGATGTAAGTTTAAAATATAGTTACCCGGTAATGTGGCTAATTATGTTGGTGAATAAAAGCAAAAATTACAGAAAGTAAACATTTAACAGTCAGGGGCAAAATGCAAACAAGTTATTGTCAAAAATAACTCGTTATTTTTTGGTCACAGTGAGTTACCTCTCTTAGCTTCTGTCCTACTTTTTCCCATCAGTAGTAACTCAAGTTATCTTTCCAAAATAGTTTCAATAAAATGATAACTTGTTTAAGTTATTTTATGTCATTTCTCCCTAACTTTACACCTTGTGCAATAAAGGTTTTTGCTCATGCACCAAGACAAAAACAAATCTTTGGTTAAGTTTAAACCTTGCTAAATCAGGGGTTGAAATATTCCTGGAAAACTCACTAGCCAAGGGGCTACTGATCAATAAAAAAAATACTAGCCCAAACCTCAAAGTAACACCCAGCAATTTCTTGTGCAAAATGAAAATATAACACAAGTAAATTTTCAAATGCTTTGGTGACGGAAACAAATTAAACTAGTTCTCGGTCAAAAGAAACCTGTCTACATAGCAAACAAAAGTAAACTGACGAGGATTTTTTTCCTGGTCTGCTAGTCCGATGGACTATCATTACATTTAAATAAGCTAGCCCGAGTCTAAAACAATAAGCCCCAGATGTCAGGCTACCATATATTTCAACCCCTGCTCAATCCACAGGGATAGGCATTAACTTTCAGATTTACTTGCCCTTTGGGCAAGTAATCTCAAACTTTGACTTGTCCGAATGCAAAACTTTGTTGCCCAAAATAAGGAAAGAACTTCAGAAGAATTTTTTTTTTATTACTGTAAATGTTATGACAAGAAATAATGTGACCAAATACACTACTGTCAATTTGGCAAGGTGAGGTACCTGAAAAAATTTCGCTGCTGTGTTTGTACATAAATGTATATCACTGTCCTTGTAAATTTAACCTGTTAACACACACTGCCATATTGCAATAACCCTCCATTTTAATGAAATTCATATTTTAAAAAATTATTTTCGGTAGGATTCTCTTGTGAATCGTGATTTTCTGAGATAACTGTGAAACAACGCGTGATTTTCTGAGATAACTGTGAAACAACGCTAAAGGAAGATAGTTGCTACGTAACATACATCGATCTTTACTTTGATGAGGATACATTGTGTTACACTGAACTTACATTCTGTGAGTGAATAAATAATCTAATATCCAAATAAGTTAACATTTTAGATGTTAGACAAACAGCAAATTTATCAGGGAAAAAAAAACCTGGAATAACGAACCCGATTTTCAAATGAAAGGTATAATCCAGAAATTGTGACTAGGAATTCCAAATGCAAAAACAATGTCAGTCAGTCAGGTACCTGGCAGAAATCAAATCTTCATTTTATTGTTTTTTTATATAAATTGATGTAAACTAAATAAATATGTACATTTCTATTTCACTTACCCGATCGGACAGGTACGTCGTAAGATTCACTTGCCCGAACTGAGAATTTACTTGTCCAGGGCAATCGGACAACTGTAATGTCGATCCCTGATCCAGAAAAATTGTCCAAAGTCTTGGGAAAAATCATTTATTTAATGATAAAAAATTGACCAAAAAATGTAAATAACTCTTCAAAATAAGAAGTAAAATGCTATTTGTCTCCACCTCCTCACCAATTCTCCATTGGAGTCTGTGCACTCCATCTTGTATTACATAATGGAATACATTTTGGCAGGAAATACGAAACCCCCTTGAAATCAATGTCCAAGTAGGATATAAAAGTAACTTACATAAGTTATCATTAAAAAAAAATTTGTGTGTGTACACTAACTTATATAAGTTATTTTTCTAATAACCTGTTTGCATTATGCCCCTGACTGTTTAATATAACTAACACATTGTGTCATATAATATATAATTTTGTAATGAACATTCTTTCTAATGATTATGATGCACTCAAATAGAAGCAAAATCTGACCATAGTTATAAATTTGTGTTATAAGTAACTTTATTTGTGAAACAGGTGCTTAAGAGACAGTAATTTACATAAAGAATCAAAGTGTTTTGAAATAAACTTGCAAAAATGTACATGAACTTTCTATGTTTGATTTTTCTTTATTCATCCTAGTCTCTACCTTGTCAAAATTTTGAACAATTACTTATATTGGAAATTACATTAATGTACATAGGTAATGGCTATGTGTTTAAAAATATACCCCTTCATCTTTCCAAGTTTTCCCAGAATATGTATGCAATTAAATAAAGAACATATATTATTGAAAAAAAGTAAACAGAAATGAATGAATAACTGATTTCTAGTTGATTAAAAACCTTCAAATAATGGACTAATGAATTATGCTCATTTTGACGTCCCTAGTTAAAAATGACATTCTCAAGACAATTTTCATTGCTTTCAGCACTTGCACTTCTTTAGCATGCATAACGTAAGCTTGTTGGTGAAAAAAAAAAAGATCATGAATATTCAATGAATATTCATCCAAAGAAGTAAATATCTGATTATTAGAACCTTTTTATCATGCTTCTGCAGTGTTTAAGTCCTTTTACGTATGTTGCTAATTGCTGAGGTCAATAAAATGCATTTTTTATTGACTGTTTCCATTTTTTCTCTTGAGATCTGAGGTTTTGAATTTCATTTTTGTCAGAACAATATTTTTGGCTGAATAAAAAAAATTAATTCATCTGTTTGCCAATTATTTTTCTGTATCAAAAAATAATAAATAAATAAATAAAACGTGCAGTTATGGACCATATCAATTTATCAACAATGAACAAATACTCACTGAATACACAATATCTGAAGCAGTGAAAACTTTTAGAAAAAGTTGCTTTTATCCAGAATTATCTCTGCTCTCACAATGTTTTCCCCAACTCTGCATACACCTTTTATGCATTGTTCCAATGTGTTACATTCATCAGTTAAGTAATGACCAAGCACAAAGCTAATGCTTTTATCATTTTTTTTAAATATAAATATGCAAGCCTTTGCTCCATTAAAATTGTATACATGTGCATGATGTTTGTACATGTGATTTTTGGATAATCTAAGAACAGGATTCAGGCATGTGGTTGTATAAAGGTCTTCCTGAATGTTTCAAATACTTCATTTCAATTAGATAAATAATACACCTGTTGGCAGTTATGAGTTTTGTTGTTGTTGTTGTTTTTTTTTTTTTTTTGTTTTTTTTGGCTTGGTTGACGTAATTTAATTTGCCTAATTTTTTCAGAAATTTGTTTGAGGTGTACTTGAAACCCTACTTTCTGGAAGCCTACAGACCTATCAGAAAAGGTGACATATTTTTGGTGCGAGGAGGAATGAGAGGGGTTGAGTTCAAGGTCATTGAGACAGACCCTAATCCTTACTGTATTGTGGCACCAGACACTGTCATCCACTGTGAAGGGGAACCAGTCAAAAGAGAGGTTAATTAATTTTATTTCCTTTGTATTTTGAGTGCATGTTTGGACCACCATTGGGTTGTAGTAAAATGTACCATGTCCTAAGGTCAAGTGAAGTTATTAATGAATGGAGATAGGAACAGTTGTCTCTATTTATTCTTGCAGATTAAAATTTTATATAAGGAACAATAAGAAATACATTTGGAATCATAGGAATTAATTAAAAATTAAAATTAATTAAAATTATTCTTTAAGGCAATCCGAGAATTGTTAGAGTTGTTTGTTTCATACATGTAAGTGAAATGATTTGATTATTTTATGCCTGGGTCAAGGCTGAATGTTCAGTGTTTGTTATGACAGGAGGAAGAAGAAGCGCTGAATGAGGTCGGGTACGATGACATCGGAGGCTGTCGTAAACAACTGGCTCAAATCAAAGAAATGGTGGAACTCCCCCTCAGGCATCCACAGCTTTTCAAGGCTATAGGGGTCAAGGTCTGTCACACGTAAACAGGAGCATATAAAGTATATGTATAATGGTCATAATTGGAACTTAAGTACTTTGGAATATCTTAGAATAAAAAGCTGTGCAATGACTGTGCAGTATGGTTAATTGTCCTGTAAACTTCTAATGAATTGAAAATGTAAATGTAAAAGTAGAAAAATATTTCAGGGAACAAAATATTGCATTTATAGAGAATATAGCTTTTTGACCATTTTATTCTGTTTTATATCACAGCCTCCACGTGGTATTTTGCTATATGGACCCCCGGGTACAGGAAAGACTCTGATTGCCCGAGCTGTAGCCAATGAAACGGGAGCATTTTTCTTTCTCATTAATGGTAAGAAATTCTTCTATAGAAAAAATTATAAATTTGCAATAATATTATTTGAAGGGAGGTTAAAAAAAATTGCACCAAAAATATTAGGTCATATTTGATTTGTACTTTCCTTCATTAACAGTATAATTTAAAAATATCTGCCCTGACCATTTGACATACGAAAAATTGAAAACCTCCAAGGAAGATACAGGAAGTAATTGTTTAGTCCATGGTCTCTCTGATAACTTTTACCAGAATAGCCTTCAGATTTGTGAAATGTTCTTTTTTTTAGGTCCTGAGATTATGAGTAAGTTGGCAGGAGAATCAGAGAGTAACTTGAGGAAGGCCTTTGAGGAAGCTGAGAAGAATTCTCCCGCTATCATTTTCATTGATGAATTGGATGCTATAGCCCCCAAACGTGAAAAGGTAATGACATGTCATTTGCAGACTCGTTGTAGTAACGTATTATGTACCAATAAGAATGCCTTGAGCAGACTTATAATGATGATCTACATTTAGATTTGTTTATTGCTCTCATACTTCTTTTGCATATTAACATTAGATTAATTTGTATCATACTAAGTGTTCTTTGCTATTCCGACTGTATGCATGTAGAACTTAGTTGGGCACACTAACCCACTGCTTTTGACATGGTACTCTAGTGTCACATTAATTTTAATGTTGAGCTTTATGAAGACATGAAGAACCAATGTTTTTCTAGTACTGATAACAGTAAACCTTGTAGACACATGGAGAGGTGGAGAGAAGAATTGTATCACAGCTGTTAACATTGATGGACGGCCTTAAACAGAGGGCACATGTCATTGTCATGGCCGCCACAAACAGACCCAACAGTGTGGATGGAGCTCTTAGACGATTCGGTAAGATGGTGCCTGACTGCCTGTAAACTGAAACGTTCCTCAAAATCATTGATCATTTACTGGAAAATTCTACACCGGCCAGTAGATATACACTTCTACCGGCTGTACATATATGCTAGTTAATTGAAAACTGATGAATTCTAACATTATGTGAAATAAATTGTTTGAAATTTTCAGTGTATGTTCAATATCTCTAATACAAAGTTAATTGATTTCTAAATGACTTTCCCAGCCCCAAATATGCTAAAAGATCATGTTTGTGATTCTGTCTTACTGAGGTAAAAATTAGTGTTTTCTAATGGTTGCAGGTCGATTTGATAGAGAAGTTGACATCGGAATACCTGATGCCACTGGGCGTTTGGAAATCTTGAGAATTCACACAAAGAACATGAAGCTTGCAGAGGATGTAGATTTGGAACAAGTTGCCCAGGAAACCCATGGTCATGTAGGAGCTGATTTAGCAGCATTGTGTTCAGAAGCTGCCCTACAACAAATTCGTGAGAAGATGGACTTGATTGACCTTGAGGATGAACACATTGATGCTGAAGTCCTGGACAGTTTGGCTGTTACAATGGAGGACTTCAGGGTATGTGTGTAACATTGTTTATACTTGACATAATGTTAAATGACAGAAATGAAGATCATCCTTTGATATACAATGTAATGTAATGTAAGTTTTCATATACATAATCAAGTTTTATTTAAAGATTTACATTAAATTTTAAACTTCTGCTGGGCATAATAACATAGTTTATATACACAGCTGATTGTTAAAAAAGAATTTTTTTCTATGTAGCTAAAAATCTTTGTAAAATTTTCATTTCATTTTTAAACCACATTTTGTTTGGAAATCCTCAATTAATATAAAGACTTAAAAGGACTTATGCTTATTATTATTAAGCTGAAGTAACACTTTATCATGTGCCTGTTTTCAGTGGGCTCTCAGTAAGAGTAACCCCAGCGCTTTACGAGAAACCTGTGTTGAGGTTCCCTCTGTTACCTGGGACGATATTGGAGGTCTGGAGAATGTCAAGAAAGAACTGCAGGAATTGGTCCAGGTAACAATAAAACCTAATATGTATGTTTACTCTCAAATTATTCTGAACAAAGGCTCTTGACATTTTTCATGTATACCAATTTCTCTGCACCCTTTTGCTTCATCCACATGTAATGGTAAAGAAAAAGAATGAAAACATTGTAAAATGAAAAAAAAATTATCATAGAAAATGTGGTAATTTCAAATGATGGAAATGGTACATTAACAAGTGAAGTAATGGAACGTCTTTGCTTCATATTCTGAACTACCAGCAGATATACAGGGTTAAAGTATTTATTTGTTTTTGTAGTACCCAGTAGAACACCCAGAGAAGTTCTTGAAGTTTGGAATGACTCCTTCAAAAGGTGTCTTGTTTTACGGCCCACCAGGATGTGGTAAAACTCTGCTGGCCAAGGCTATTGCTAACGAATGCCAGGCCAACTTTATCTCCATTAAAGGCCCAGAGCTGCTGACCATGTGGTTTGGAGAGTCTGAGGCCAATGTCCGAGATATCTTTGACAAGGCCCGGTCAGCTGCCCCATGCGTGTTGTTCTTTGATGAGTTGGACTCCATAGCTAAAGCCAGAGGAGGAAATGCTGGGGATGGAGGTAAGACAGTATACCCAAAAGTACAGAAAAAAATTATATTGGTTGCAAAAGGAAACAATTGACGTATTCAGACTCTTGAGTGATTGGATTTTTGTTTATGTATAGGTGGAGCTGCTGACAGGGTGATTAACCAGCTCCTGACAGAAATGGATGGTATGGGAGCTAAGAAAAATGTCTTCATCATTGGTGCAACAAACAGGTGAGAGACAATGCTCAAAGTCACTTTGTACAAGTACAGATTAAAGTTGGAAATATTTTTAGGTCACCTGAGTCACTCAGGTGACCTATTGCTATCTGTTTTCGTCCGCCGTCGTGCGTCGTCCGTCGTCCGTCGTGCGTTAACTTTTGAACATTTTTAACTTCTTCTCTAGAACCGCTCAACCAATTTCAACCAAATTTGGTATATAGCATCTATGGGTGAAGGGGAACAAAAATTGTGAATTTCATGGTCCCTGCCCCCCTGGGGCCTGAGGGGTGGGGCTAAAACCACCAAAAATAATGCAATCTTTAAAAATCTTCTTCTTTACTCCTGGACATCAAGCAGTCAAACTGTTGGCATCATTGTAATAAGCATGGAGCCCTCTACCAAAATTGTGAAATTCATGGCCCCAGGGTCAGGGGTTCTGGCCCCAGGGTGGGGCTATATAGATCATATAGTGAAAGTGCATTATTTCTTTGAAAATCTTCTTCTCTGCTCCTGGGTATTAAATAAAGTTACTAAGTACATAGTTATGATGAGCAAGAGTGCCTCTTCCGAAATTGTGAAATTCATGGCCCAAGGGTCAGGGGTTCTGGTGTTAGGGCGGGGCTCTATAGATTATATGCATGTAGTGAAAAAGCATTGATTCTTTGAAAATCTTCTTCTTTGCTCCTGGGTATTAAATAAAGTAACTAAGTACATAGTTATGATGAGCAAAAGTGCCTTTTCAAAAATTGTGAATTTCATGGCCCCAGGGTCAGGGGTTCTGGTGTTAGGGCGGGGCTCTATAGATTATATAGTGAAAATGCATTAATTCTTTGAAAATCTTCTTCTCTGCTTCTGGATATTAAATAAAGTAACTAAGTACATAGTTATGATGAGCAAGAGTACCTCTTCCAAAATTGTGAATTTCATGGCCCCAGGGTCAGGGGTTCTGGTGTTAGGGCGGGGCTCTATCGACTATATGGTGAAAATGCATTAATTCTTTGAAAATCTTCTCCTCTGCTCCTGGGCATTAAGGTGATAAACTAAGTACATAGTTATGATGAGGAGGTGGGCCTCTTCAAGAATTGTGAAAGCCATGGCCCCTGGGACAGGGGTTCTGGTGTTAGGGTTGGGCTCTATTGATTATATAGTGAAAATGCATTGATTCTTTGAAAATCTTCTTCTCTGCTACTTGAGATTATTTAAACAAACTAAGTGCACGGTTATGATGCATAAGGATGCCTTTTCAAAAATTGTGAATTTCATGGCCCCAGGGTCAGGGGTTCTGGTGTTAGGGCGGGGCTTTATAGATTATATAGTGATAATGCATTGATTCTTTGAAAATCTTCTTCTCTGCTACTGGAGATTATATAAACAAACTAAGTGCATGATTATGATAGACAAGGATGCCTCTTCCAAAATTTTTAAATATATGGCCTCAGTTTTTGGGGTTCTTGAGGAGGGGGGGGGCTCTATTGATTATATAGTGAAAAAGCATTAATTCTATTAATCATTAATTAATCCTGTCTGCTCCTTAGTGTTGAGCTGATAAATAAATTGCTTAGCTATGATGAAAATGGGAGCTTCGAACAGAATTTTTAAATCTTGTGGTCCTAGGGTCAGGGGTTCTGGCATAACGAGGGGGGGGGGGGGGGGGCTTTTGATAATATAGTGGAAAAGTGTTAATTCTTTGAAGTCCATAGTTATGATGATGAGGGTAACTCTTCCAAATTTGTAAATTTCTTGACCCTTGGTCTTGGGTTCTGGTGTTAGGGTAAGGCTTTGTTGAATCTGTAGTGAAAATGCATTGAACCTGTGAAATTCTTCTCTGCTTCTGGGCATATTGGAAGCAAACTGAGTAAAAGTTTAAATGATATGAGTAAGCGTATTTCTACCAGATTTTTAAACATCTGGACCATTGGTCTAAGCATTCTGGTCCTGGGCAGGGCTCTATTAATTTGTATTCTACTGAGAGAAGTTATTCCCCTTTTCCATTCACCTTTGATAATTAATCACTGTAAATAACGTATTTGAAAGGTTAATAGAATAAGATAATTATGCAAGAATGTTTATCGTATAATTAAAAAAGTACTTTCTTAGTTTTAATAAACAGGTAGACCTGTAAGTAATAGATGAATAAAAATGAGACAAAAATAACTTATCTTATTAAAAGTTCTTCAAAGACCATAAGAGAGGTCAATGCTAGAGGTCTTAATATGGGTTTAAAAATAGTACAGAAGCACTAATAGTTTGTTAATAGTCTGCATAGTGTTAAGTGGGGGACAGATTAGAACTTAATTTATGAGTTGATACTGAATACTAGAGTAATTATTTTGTTGATCCTGATCTTCCTACTTCTCTTGCTTTAGGGCAACAAAGCTTCAACTATCAGTGTAATTAACTTCTAAATTGTTGTATTATACTCAGGTGACCATTAAGGCCCTTGGGCCTCTTGTCTGATAATGGAAATTAAAAATATAGTTTCTTTGCTTTCTTAAAGATTCCTAGATTTCTCACAGGTTTAAGATGTTTAACAATGGGGTCCAAATTTATGTTGTTTATATCAATTTTTTGTACAGACCTAACTTTGTTGTTAATAATGGGGTCCAAATTAATTTTGTTTTTTTTTCTGTAATTTTTGTTTGGACCTGACATCAATTTATTTTGTTTATGTCAATATTTGTAGACCTGACATTATTGACCCTGCCATCTTGAGACCAGGTCGTCTGGATCAGCTGATCTACATTCCTCTGCCAGATGATAAATCCAGAATCGCCATCCTCAAAGCCAACCTCAGAAAGTCTCCAGTAGCTAAGGTACCCTCACCATGTAAACAAATGTCAAATGCTAGTTAGGTGTACACAGTTTACTCTTATTGAAAGTGTTCATGAAGAGTCTCGAAGTAATTGTTGTTGGAAAATTTATACATGTATTTTACCATTAATTTCAGCCTGGTAACTTACTCAAATTAAACATAATTTATCACACATCTTCCCATTCTTGTATCATCCAAACTAGAATACGTAAAGTGTTTGCAAAAATAATGTGATTGGTATTGCTAGCAAGAGTTGAGACAAAGAGTTTAGGCAAGATGTAGACTAATTTGGACTAGGCTTCCTTAGAAGTAAATTTGTTACACTAATATTTATTGCTCAGGATGTAGATCTGGATTACCTAGCCAAGGTGACACATGGCTTCAGTGGAGCAGATCTAACAGAAATTTGTCAAAGAGCTTGTAAACTAGCCATCAGACAGTCTATAGAAGCTGAAATCAGAATGGAAAGAGAGAGGGACAGAGATCCTAATGCAGACATGGTAAGTTTGAGTGATCATTTTATGTTTGTTATTTTCATGAGAAAAGATCTTTTGGTTTAAGATGTCCTTCCCAAAGTGAGATAATGTAAAAGTTTAACCAATAGAGACTTAGATCTAGAGTTGTCCTTCCCAAAGTGAGACAGTGTTAAAGTTTAACCAATAGATACTTAAATCTAAAGTTGTCCTTCCCAAAGTGAGACATTGTTAAAGTTTAACCAACAGATACATGTACTTAAAGCTAAAGTAAAGTTTAACCAACAGAAACTTAAATCTAGAGTTGTCCTTCCCAAAGTGAGACAGTGTTAAAGTTTAACCAATAGATACTTAAATCTAAAGTTGTCCTTCCCAAAGTGAGACATTGTTAAAGTTTAACCAGCAGATACTTAAATCTAAAGTAAAGTTTAACCAACAAAAACTTAAATCTAGAGTTGACCTTCCCAAAGTGAGACAATGTTAAAGTTTACCAACATGGACTTGAATCTAAAGTTGTCCTTCCCAAAGTGAGACAATGTTAAAGTTTACCAACATGGACTTAAATCTAAAGTTGTCCTTCCCAAAGTGAGACAGTGTTAAAGTTTGCCAACATGGACTTAAATCTAAAGTTGTCCTTCCCAAAGTGAGACAATGTTAAAGTTTAACCAACAGATTCTTAAAGCTAAAGTAAAGTTTAACCAACAGAAACTTAAATCTAAAGTTGTCCTTCCCAAAGTGAGACAATGTTAAAGTTTGCCAACATGGACTTAAATCTAAAGTTGTCCCTCCCAAAGTGAGACAATGTTAAAGTTTAACCAACAGATACTCAAACCTAAAGTTATCCTTCCCAAAGTTAGACACTATTAAAATTTAACCAACAGAAACTTAAATCGAAAATCTGTAATGTGGCTGTTTATTACTGGTCTTTATTTCAGGAAATTGAGGACTTTGACCCAGTTCCAGAAATAACCAGGGCACATTTCGAGGAGTCAATGAAGTTTGCTCGTCGGTCTGTCAGTGACAATGACATTAGGAAGTACGAGATGTTCGCTCAAACACTACAGCAGAGTCGAGGATTTGGTGGAAACTTCAGGTAATCACTGCAGATATTTTATTGTTCATACATTATACATGTGAAATTTTGATGCAGATTTGCACAGTAATCTTCTATAAAATATGGAGAAAAACAGAACAATGGGGGAAGAGTTTGGGGGGGGGGGGGGGAGTGTTCTTTAATAGTTGAACCAGATAAATAGGGTCATCATATTAAGTCAGTTTGAAATCAAGGTTTTATGCTGAGTTATTATATTTTAAATATTATATAACAAGTTGAAAATTTTGCCATAAATGTGCCTTGTATTGGACACATTGGAAGCGAAAAATGTTCAGGCCCCAAGAAAATAAACTGAAAACAACCTAAGTCCAAATTTCAAATGTGTTGAACTTTTAAATTAATCAAGAAAATAAAACCAAATTTTCAATGAAGTAATACAGTAAGTCAATGAAAATTTGGTTGAATACTTTAGGAACTTGCACCTTTTCAAGCTTGTATATAGAATTAAAATCAAAAGATCCTCAAAATATAAAATTTGATATAAACCTTTTCTCAGTTTATGGTCTTGGGGCCTGAATATTTGTAGTGATACATCAAAAACCAAGGCTAATGGACATTTTTATAAATTACAGGTTTCCAGGACAACAAAGTGGCAGTAATCCCCCAAATCAAGGTCAGGGAGGGAACTTTGATGATGGGGACGATGATTTATACAGTTAATTGTGATTAACAACTGTTAACAGAAAACACAAACTCAGACAGTGATAGTAATATTTATAAAGTCTTGTTTTCATTTTGATTCATTTCTCATTTTGGAGTCGTGCAAACATAAGACTGTTGTCATATGATTTTTTTTTAATGCGGCAAAGCTTTTTCACATTCAGTCATCAGTAGTGCCACTGAGTATAAGAGGACTATTACAACACAGTACCAGCATGACTAGCTCTGTGTACAATGTGTATTAAATCAGAAACCAGTACCTTGTTTTCTTATTAAAGGTATATTGTAAACAAACCAGAGAATAAGTTAAAGGTAACTATAATGCATGTGCTGTATATTGGAATGTCTGTCTATGTGACTTATGTCAGCATTTATAAAATCCCTAAGTTCTGATGAGTAAGGTAATGTTGAAATATTAAAATTTGTCTTGGCCCTGGACAAGTACTTGCCTTTTACGTTTTGTATTGTATATGAATAATCAGGTTTCCGTGTAAAGTAGGTTTCTGAAATGTTTCCTTGTATTGGCAGCTTGTGTCTTGTATAATACAGGTGTTTCACAATGAGTGGATGCCACTGGTGAACTCTCAGCTTCAGCTGCTAAAGAAGTATATCGAGACAATTCAATAAAAATCAAAAGGCACTGGATAATACATTGAGAAAAAAATAAAGAACCGTGTATTCAATAGAAAATCTGTGTCTAGGAGTGTGTGCGTAGGAAACAATGAAAGATGTAAAATCGAGCAAGTCTTCTCAAAAAAAAAACAAACAAACAAACAAACAAAAAAAGCTTATCCAGCCATTAGTCTGAGTGGTACATTGGCCGGTATAGCACATGGTATGAGATTGTTTTTAGTTCACCTGAGCTGAAAGGAATTTGTCCATCGTCTGTCTGTCTGTCCATCTGTAAACTTCACATTTTCGACTTCTTCTCCAGAACCACTGGGCCAATTTCAACCAAACTTGCCACAAAGTATCCTTGGGAGAAGGGGATTTTCGTTTGTTCAAATGAAGGTCACAACCTCTTTCAAGGGAAGAATTAGTAAAATTTGGTGGTATCTTTTCAAAATCTTCTCAAGAACCACTGCCCCCCCAAAAAGTTTAAACTTATATGAAATCTTTACATAGTGTAGATTTAAATTTGTTCAAATCATGACCCGCGTGGATAGGGTGGGGCCACAATGGGGGATCAAAGTTTTACATAGGAATATATAGGAAAAAAATCTCAAGAACAGCAGAGCCATGTTTAGTCATATTTATATGGAAGCATCCCCAGGTAGTGTAGATTCAAGTTTGTTCAAATCATGAACCCCAGGGGTAGGGTAGGGCCACAATGGGGGATCAAATTTTTACCTGGTACATAGGAATCTTTAAAATCTTCTCAAGAACAGCAAAGCCATGAATAGTCATATTAATACGGAAGTATTCAGGTTGTGTTAGATTCAAGTTTGTTGAAATCATGACTCCCTGGGGTAGGGTGGGGCCACAATGGGCGATCCAAGTTTTACTTAGGAATATATAGGAAAAAATCTCAAGAACAGCAAAGCCGCCATTAGTCATTTTAATATGGAAGCAACCTCAGGTAGTGTAGATTCAAGTTTATTCAAATCATGAACCCTGGGGGGTAGGGTCGGGCCACAATGGGGGATCAAAGTTTTACATGGGAATATAAAGGGAAAAAACAATAAAATTTTGGCTACAGACCAATTATTATACATGTACTTGTTATACTATGTATTGAGAAGGGCTTTGCGTAGATTAATTTCCCCTGATGTGTGATCGTCTAATTCTAAAGAATAATATTCATCTTATAAAATGGAAGTTTTTGTTTCATTTCTGCCGTATGCGTGAGTTTATGAACTGCTAGTTTGAAATTTCAAATATAATTTTTGTGATTTATGATCACATCATGAATTAAATACTGGGACTGCATATGAGTTACTGATGATTAAATACTATAATCTAAGCACGTTTATATTTGTTTAGTACAAAAAAATATAAAATTGTTTCGAATGGTTTTGTGCGATACATTTTTATTTTAAGAGAGTACTAAATACAAGGTATTTTATATCAACTTAAAAATCTCTTTTGGCTGGGTATAATTCAAGAGTTCTAAAATTCTGATAAGTACATATTGTACGTATAACGTATCAAGGGAAACCTTTTTCGTTGGAATTTGTGTACGGTTTATGACTGACTGCAGAAAAGCAAAGATGGAAAGACAATTTTAAACCCGTTACCTTTACTAACATAATGTGGACCAAAAAGAAAAAAAAATGGCCACGAATTTCTATTCTGTGGCCACGAATTTAATTCCCTTCCCACGAATTTTATTTTCTGAAGTTTAATTTCTTAGCCGCGAAATAATAATAAAAAAAGTCATACTATGTCCTATACCAGTCACCGTAGAGTGGTAATGTGTCGTCTCCAAACTCCACCCACAATATTGTAAAATCTTACAATTGAATTTCTCTTGACTTTTGATCACTTTCTCTCTTAACCAGAATCCGTAAGGAACCATTAAACCAAGACTCAATATAACACCCACATTGTACAGATCCATAGAGAGAGAGAGAGAGAGAGAGAGACATCTTAAAAAGATAAATATCTGTCATTTAATCAATGGGTTTTATTATGTAGTATAATTAGCAATTGCGAGATCGATAATCCCCAAAACAGTCTGACGAGGTGTGGCAGCTCATGACCTACTGGTCATTAAGTCAACGGATTATTCGTCATTTACGTTTTTTTTTTCTGAAATAAGAAGAGTTTTGGAAAAGAACTGATAATCAATGTACTTTCTGTGAGGGGATATTGAGGGACCTCTGACATCAATTGCAGTGAAGCTTATTTATTTTTTCCATAGTGTGATATGTTTAAGGTTGTCTTCCAATATGTAAGAGTAAGTTATAAGGATCCAAACTATACAAGAATACTGTCATTAGATTACAATGAATTTTGGATTCTTGCAAATCTATATAATACACCAAAAATCATGTACATTTATTGATGCAACAAATTAAAGTTTATCATATACGTCATATCCTATATGGTTTGATATTTTCAAGGAAGACTTTTCCAAGTTATCCTTTTTTTTTCTTTTCAAATAATAAAGTCCATGTTTAGTCTTGTCCCATAATCCCCTGCACTTGGTTATTGGGGTCCCCGATAACGAAGTGTAGGGGATCATAGGACAAGAGTAGAAGAAAAACTAGTTGACGTGCCAAATCTCAGATACTCGAGTTTGAGGAAATACTAAAATTAACTTTTGCTGATAATGAGACTCAGAGATTTTCTGTTTTTGGTCTGAGGTTTTTTTTTTCTCTTGACTTCTCCGGACCCTAAATTATACGCCAGTTACTGGAAATAAAAGACACCATAGTCTTACACATCTGTTTCATACCGTATATGGATGTTTAACTAGAAAAAAAAGATAACCTAACAATTAAGAAATCTTTATGATAAATGTGATGACTTGAACTTTTCTATCGTCATGCAGTTTCCCTTAATTATGTAGCAATATACCATCATCAGCTGCATATGGAGTTTATGTCTCCGAGTTGATTCGATACAAAAGAGCAAGCTCTTCGTACGAACAATTTTTTTAAAATAAGGCAAGCTATTGACAAATAAGTTGATGATACAAGGATATCAACAGACCCGTTTAAGGACATACGCAACGTAGTTTGAACTTTTTTGCCTTTTTCCATGGAGTTGAAGAGTTCCAATTCTTGAAGGAACTGTGTGCTGTATTTTAATGTCTATATATGGTGTTGTACACTTTTTCTAAAACAATTTTGGATAAAAGAAACATCTAGATTATATGTTTAGTATTTTTTATATATTTTTCTTTAAATCATCCAAGAATTTTCATCCATTGATATCTTTGAAAAGCCCCTGGTAATGCATGTTGATTTTTTGTCTATGAACATCTGATGACACTATAATCTTAAATTTAGAATATCTTGAATGTTATCAGTAGGTAAGGTACGTTGCGTATGTCCTTAAAGAGGCCTGGACACAGTTGTGTTGTTTACATTTTAAATTTCTACGCTTATTCAAAAAATAAAACCAGTTACCGACGACGGACCTAATTCATTTCTGCAATAGATTTTTATTCAAATTTTAATATGAGGTAAAGTGACATTTGGTGAGTTAAAATCAATAAAAAAAAATCACATGGTCATCGATATAGATTTTTATTGGGGAGCGTTTCAGAGGTTGGCGATGGAAATCGATAATTACTATAGGAAGTAATGGGGAATTGCCAGTGTAGGGTATAAGAGTGATCACTGAAAAAAATTCTGCAATAGAATTTTTATTCATATTAAAGGACAATGTTAACATGACAATTTACTAGCAAATTATGCCAAAAATAAATGGGTCATCGGCTTAGGTTTTTCAGGGAGGAGGGGGGGGCATGTTGAACTCAGGTGTAAGGCACATTTTGGGGGAAATTTTCAATGAAAATACCTTAATTGGCCAAATAAATCATATATTTATAAAATCAACAAATGAATATAAATCGAAATATTTACAATATTTTTGAGTTTGAATATCTTTAAAAGAATTAAAAATGTATATTTCTTATCTTTTGCAATACATAATTAAGTCAATTTGATTCAATGCATTTGCGCGGTTTTCTGCGCAGTGGCGCGAAATTTTGAATTAGGTCCGTCGTCCTTAAATGAACTGAACTTACATGAATATTCTTAGAATTCAATAACAACTACATTCTTCTTCACATCACGTCAAACATCTGTTTTTGTAAACAGGGCACGAACTCTGTTATAGTTAATGTTAACATTTCAACAGGTGTGCTCAATTTGTTAAACTCTTCACACATCACTGAGCACGGACTGACAATACTGGTGAGTTTTTTTTTTTGCCTCTAACATTTCTACTCTGAATTTTCTGGATTATAGTTTTAATATTTTACTATTAAGGATAAAGTTTACTTTGTGAAAGTCCAAGGATGTGTTAATCAAACGCGTCCCGAAATTCGTAGTTTCAATAATTTCCAGTTAAAAGAAGTTTCTGAACACGCTTTTATTATTTTTTCGTGTGAAATGCTGTAGCAACATATAAGTCATGATTTATACAGAAAATTTGAGCAAAAATTAACTTCAAATCTGTGTCCAGGCCCCTTCAAAGTCAACATTTCACAAGTTCTATGGTCGATACAATGACCTTGTCAGCAAATACAATATATCGTTAAGTCGAATGTTGACTGGCATTTTTCATATACAAATCGTAAGGCAA